ATGCAGGTGGACTGCGCAAATCAGGTTGGTAGCAGACCCCAAGACATGGAGTTTATAGAATGTCGACAAGATGGTTTTTCAGAGTAGCTTGCGGTAGAGCCCACTAGGGAACAGGCAATTCTGGATTTGGTGACATGTAATAAGGCAGACTTGATTAGGGAGACTAAGGTGAAGTGACTATAATATGATAGAATTCACCCTGCAGTCTGAGAGGGAGAAGCTGGAATCAGATATAAAGTTTTTACAATTGAGGAAGGTAACCACAAAGACATGAAGGAGGAGCTAGCCAGAGGTGATTGGAAGGGAAGCCTAGCAGGGAGGATGGTGGAGCAGCAATGGCAGGAATTTCTGCGGGTAATTTGGGAAGTCCAGCAGACATTCACAAGAATGATTCCAAGGATGAGAAATTTCGGTCATGTGGTTTAAAATTTGGATTGTTTTCCTTGGAGAAGAGAAGGTTAAGATGAGATTTGATTGAAATTCATGAGGGGTCTGGACAGATTAGACGGGGGAAAATTATTCCCATTGGTGTAAAGACAGAGAAGAGGACTCTGTTTGTAGCTAACTAGCAAAAAATTAATGGAAACATGAGGAAAAATGTTTTTATGCAGTAAGTGATTAGGATCTGGAATGCACTCTTGAGTGTGTGGTGGAGGTAGGTTCAATTGAAGCTTTCAAGATGAAACTGGATTGTTGTTTGAACAGGAAGAATGTGCAGGGGTATAGGGAGAAGACGAAAGACTGACACTTGGTAAATTACTCCTTTGGAATGCCAGTGCAGACATGATGAACAGATTAGCCTTCCTTCTGTACTGTGTGGATTTGAGTCTGTGAAAATTAAACTAGAATTTATTTGTTCCCCCAAAAATGCACACTGAACTATGCAGCGAGAACACGTCTTGTACAAGTGACAGATGGTAAGATGTTATAACCTTGAGTATTGGAATAGAAAGGAAGAAGGGGAAGGCTGGAATAAATTTTGTCTCTCCCAGAAGCTGTTGACCATACAAGGTTCAGAAAAGAGCAATTCTGAGAACTTTTTTTTTAAAACTGCTAGTTTTAGTGATTAGATTTTCAGTCATTCTAAACTTTTTTTTAATACTTACTAGAATAAGTTAAGTAGAGGAAGAACCAAATGAAGTTTTAATATCAAATATACCCTAACTTTCATTTCTTGTCAAAGCAATCAACACAGTTGTATTTAAGGCTTACAGGATGGGCAAGATTTTGACTTTGTAATTTAAAGCAAGGATCCTTTTAAAAGTCAGAGGTAAAGGCTTGGCTAAAGTTGGGTCTATCAACACCATGTTAATCATCTCTAGTTTCTTATGTTACAAGGGATAATATAAGCATTGTTGCATCAGGTAAAGATACCTCCTGCTTGAGGCAAAACCTACATAATGGTTAGCAGCTTGATTATCAAGAAACAAAACCTCCAGGATCTTGGTGGCATATATTGGAAAACCTATTGAAGATCAACTGGAAAACAGCCCTGGACATCAAAGAATTCAGACAATCACCAGCATCACCTTCTAAGATTACAGACAGCTATACAGATATGCAGATAGGATGTTGACAAGCCAGAAGGCAGAGCTGATTTATTTCTGATTAAAATCTAAGCTTTTTCAAATTAGAAGAAACTTCTAAACATGCTTCACTTAAAACTAAAGGGGCAGAAGTTACAAATAAAAGCAAGGCTGAAGGTTACCTATAAGTTGGCAATGTACATTCTACCAATCTCCATGTCGCTATTAAAAATAAACCCAAGAGCTTGCAGTTTTGGTTTTGAAAAAAAGGGGGTTAAAGGGCTCTAAAAGCACAGCTTTGAGGTTTTCCTAAAAGAAAATATAGCAAAACAAAAACATACTTCAAAAGGGTTTTCTATACTAAGAACGCTTACCTCTGTACGGAGCTTGATTGGTTCTACCGTTTTCTTTCTCTGTCCACCATATAGATATGCAGATAGGACATTGACCAGCCAGAAGACAGAGCTAACTTATTTCTGATAAACGTCAGAACGGTGCCAAAATAAATTAAAAGCTGGCATGATATCATCATTCCATTTTGTGGCACAAAAGCTGCCTACAGGTGTAGCCTGCAACTTTAAAAACTACAAGCCTGCAGTTCTCAAACCAACATCCTTAAAGGGGCCAAAGCCAATAAAGGAACAGCAACAAGAAAAACACAGGAAATAGAGGCATTAAAGGAAAAAATCTAAAATGGGAGAAGTAAAACCAATAAAGCAAATAAACAAACACTACCTCTTGACAAAAAATCAAAGAGAAATGAAAGTAAATGCAAGAAATAAAATGCAAATACTTACTTATAAATTGGACATTCAGTTATATCTTTTCTGAATTACAACTATTTAAACAAAGTATGCATTTTACAGATCAAGCTATAAATTAGCCAGAGAAGAGAAATCTGAAAATTTTGCTGGCATTGGTGAGGTGTGGCTTCACAGAATTGACATAGCTGGTCTTTCTATGAACAATCAGTACGATATACGAAAGATCTGGAAAGTTCTCAAAGACCAGCTCATGGTAAGAATTAACTTCAGGATTAACAGACTCTAACTCATGTCATACAGACAGCAACCCCGAGACTCTATTGACCAGTTTGTCAGAAGATGCTGCAGCAGAGGGCATGAGTGTGGCCTCTCCAAAGAACTGTCAGAGAAGGTCATTCAGTTTGTCATTGCCTCTACACCAATTAAAGCCTTCAGGAAGTGTCCTCTGGGAAAGAAAAACAGCCATATCATTGACATATTATGTGAAGATAGACACAAGCATGAAGCCACAGTGGAAGGCTAACAATAATTACATGCGTAATAATAATTAGTGCAGCCAACACCATTGTTATGGTCAGCAGAGCACACTAAACGAACAAAATCTGCAACAAATGTGATTTTGATATCCATAAAGCATGCGACACCAAGGGACATTGGGTGGATGTGCAGGAAATCTGGTTTCAAAGGCCAAGCCAGATCCCAGAGCAAAACACAAGTGACTAACAAGACGGTACAACACCACAACGCTGGCAAGGAAAGTGCTAAAAAACATGCACAAACACAAATACATCAATGAGACAAATGAAAGGCAAATTTCAGAAGATGACCAAGCTTTTCATATCCTCACATACCATGTCGATAAAATAATACAATCAGATGTTTTAACAACCACTAACATCATTTATCCTGAAAAGGCAGGATAACACACTGTAAAAGCTAAAATTGACAAGGGAGCTGGTGTCAACATATTATTGCTGCATATTCTGAAAGACACTCAGCAAGTGATACTTCATGGTACAGCCTATTGCCTCACAATACATAGCTGTAAAAAATGCATCTTTTTTTTAAATTGGGGACTAAAATGGAAATACAGACTGTCTTAAAACCAAGAACTGATCACCAGATCAGGACAAATGATCAAACCTCCAAAGTGTTGCGTTGAAGTTTGAAATGTTAGCTTTTTAAATGCTATTTTACCATTTGTATAATTATCCAATTGACAACACCTGTCTGTGTACAACCATGTATATCTGTTTGGGATCATTTTTTTATCTTTAGCAAAAGGGGCATGTTATATCTCACATCATTACCGTTTCATGGCATTTAACTTGATGGCATAAAGATCTTAGTCTCCATCTTAACTGTGATCACTTGAAGCATGAAAAGTTCATGGAAGCATATTGCCCTGTGATAACTGAATAGCCTAACACTAGCCCAGACACTATTTTGACTGTGAAGGGAACAATTGTCTATAATAGCTGTAATAAATGCCTTTTGGATCTTTCAGTACCTTCTCATCTATACCTAGTTTCTTACATTATGAGGGATAAAATAATCCTCGTGCATCAGGGAAAGATATCCTGTTGGAGGCAAAGCTCTATATGCCAAACCAAGTCAAATAATTAGACATCAAATAAATAAAAATCTGTTAAACTGACTATATGACTATGAGAGGTCACATATCACAATATCATGGCAATGGAAGTCACAAGGCTCACACAGTCACATGAAACACTTGATTTCAAGGGAGTTGTAACAAGTCTTTGAAGATGGCAGGAAGGCTAATAAAAAGGAATACAGCATTATTAGCTTTATAAAAGGGTAACAGGGATAAAAGACTTCAGTTTGGAGTGGATTTTTTTCTTAGTGCAGAGGTGGTTAAGATAACATTTCAAAATATTGGAGAGATTTTGTAGTTTTTTTCCCTTATCTATGCTTCCAGTGGCAGGAAGGTTGTTAACGAGAGAAAACATTTTTAAAGCGATTGGAAAAGAACCAAAGGCAACATAAGGAAAAATTTTGAAAACAATAAGTGGTTACGATCTAGAATGCGCTCCTTGAAAGTGCTGTGGCAGTTGATTCCGTTGTGGCTTTCGAAAGGGAATTGGTTAAATACTTGAAGTAAAAAAAACAGTGCCGAGCTCTGTGGAAGGAGCAGGAGAGTGGGACTAATTGGAGAGGTTTTTCAAAGAACTGACACAGATACAACGGGCTGAAAGGTCTCCTATTGTAATGCATAATTTTATTGATATCACTATAAAGGAGGCTACATGAAATCAGGCATAATGTTACCAAAGTTTGTTTTGCAAATCTGCCTGCTATCTATCAGAAACAGCAATGTTGCCGCCATGAAATGAACTCTTCCCTGGTGAGTTGCTGCCTGGTAACACACTCCTGCTGTTTGTTATTCCATGGATCAAACACTTTCTGCCATCTGTTCTTTGAACTACATAGAGTACAAAGCAGTCTGCTGTGTAGCAAATTCCGGTCTTTTCACATTAGTTTAATTACCTTCCCACCACATCCCACCCTGAGTGCCATTGCAATCCAGTTAGAGTGTCCCTCACCCCTACCGTTGTATATGTTCAAGATCAAATACCTTCACCCACGCATGGCCAATCAGTGTCCATTGAATTGAGTACAGTATTGATTACGACTTTTTGGTAGTTAGTTAGGATTAATCAGATGCCCATAAATGCAGCCACAGAAGTTACTCGAATTCAATATGTCCAGTGAGATGCACCAAGTAATCGTCTCGAGTTGCTGCACCAGCTGGAAACACAGCTTGGCAGAATTCACAGACTTGGGAGTTGAGGCATGATTCAGAGTTCAGTGTGGTTTCATGTCCTGTGTGGCAATCCTCAGCTAAACAATGATGGCTCCGTGAACTCTGCAGCCAATCAGACAACATTAACACTTATCACATAAACAGAACGAGTTTGTGTCATTGAAGGGTTTTTTCCCATGCATTCACACACGCACAGACACAAACCTTCTCTCACACACTTTCTCACTCATACACAGAGATAACAAGGTGTAGAGCTGGATGAACACAGCAGGCCAAGCAGCATCAGAGGAGCAGGAAAGCTGACGTTTCGGGCTTAGACCCTTCTTCAGAAATGGGGAAGGGGAGGGGGGTTCTGAAATAA